GTAGTCCGTTACTACACGTGGAATGCACGGTGTCAGGTCTCCATCCGGCAGAAAGTCCTCCCCGTCCAGGTGGTGGTGTGTGTTTGACATTCTTGGTGAGGTTGGGAAGATTCGGGGCCTTGAGAAAGACAGGTGGGAAGGGCGAAAGGCTTGGATGGAGGCGTGGAGGAACATCAGGCCTGTAGCTGCTGCCTGTGGGGTCGGTTTAATACGATCTCGGGTGTAATGGTGGTATCTGTCCCTGTTCTCCCCCCTTTAAATGCGGCTCACCCCACTAGATTTTGGAAGCAGTGTATGTTTGACTCAGGGCCGAGCTTTGATGGAAGGCTGCAGGTAAGTTGAAAATCTGTGTTCCTTAATCTTCTTTAGGGTATGTATATAAATGTTTGTTTGGTTTTGAAAAAAAAGCTTAGTTATTGTAAAGCTTTGTAGTGTTTGGCCATAAAGGCCATTTGTGGAGGATGGAAATTGTATATAGTTTGTGTCTTGGCCATAAAAGCCTGTTAAAAGCAAAAGTTTTTTTTTTTCCAGGTATGGACTTATCTGTTGCAGGCCATAAAAGCCTGGTTTTCTGTGTTTTTTTCCCAGGTATGGACTTTTGTGTTGTAGGCCATAAAGGCTTCCCGGACTTTTACGTTTCCTGCATGAAGGATGTGCTTATGTTTACGCATATTTATTCATATTTAATCTTTTGTATTTTTATAGAAAATTAATGCTGGTTGGTTTGTAAGCACAAATAAAAATAAAATATTACCAGTTTTTTGCTTTTTATTAATTAGTTATTATCATATTATTAGTTATTGTTCTTACACCTGTGCAGTTAATAATAGTTTTACAATAGCAAAATCTAATTGAAGCGTGGATCTCAGCTCATTATCTCTGATTGTGCTTCAGGGACGAAGACCCTCTGGGGGACTTGTCTCCCATTCTGATAATGTCCCTGGTGTGTAGTCTCAGCTTTATATATTTATCATGGCTGTCACACAGAATTCTCAGTAACACCTCCCATGAGTTCTTATGTAACTCCCAGTTTGTTTGATTTATCCAAATTAAAAATTTGTCGATTCCTTAACCCAAAATTGAACATTAATCTCCATGCTCACCTTGTAATCCACAACTCAAATGACTGCCTACTAATTGTTTTCTGGTTCTCATTTAGCCTACTAAGATATTGCCAATACTAAAACAAATATAGATTTATTTTGGTTAGTTGAAATGCAAATTATCTGAAAAGAAAAAAAAAAACACACAACCGGTAAGAATAGACTGACAATTTTTCTGTTGTAATATGTCTTGACTTGTAAAATGACACTTCTGGTTAGAATTTTATTTTGTCTGTTATTATGCCCTTTATTATATGGTGGTTTTTGTTTGTTTTTTGTTTTTTTCCTGTTTTGATATTTGGGTAGGTAGGGGAACCTTTGTTCCCAGAACATGCACCCAGGCCATGGATAAGGGGGTACCACTGGTCCTCCTGTATGGGGCCCAGACCAGCAGGGGGGCCGGATGTGGGCAGGGAGGGTGATCGGCACAGTGGGGACCTAATCCCCTTTATGGCTGTCACTGCAGCACCTCTTGATGCACCATACATTTCCCCATGCTGCCCAAGTCCCCCCTGTGTGCCCCACCCCAACCCCTGCAAAGCTGCTGGCTTCTCTCCTCTCCTTCCCAGCTCCAAACACACTATAGGATCCTTAGGATGAATAGTGGGGGAAGGGTCTGTAAATATGTCACATTTACCAGCCCCTTCCTTTCCTGAATGAACACAATGAATGATCGTAACCAATCACTCACTGTGTTCATTCATAACTGAATGTTTAGTTGGGGGCCCTGTGACATTGGCTGTATGGGGCCCCGTGGTTTCTGACAGAAGCCCTGCATACTCCTTCTAGGAACTGAGACGTAACCACTCAGAAAAAAAATTCCCAGAAAACATTTGAAATCGGAGCTAGTCAAGCCAAGATGTACACTCCTACTCCGAGCGGATACGTTGAAGTACGTGACAATGAATTCAACGATCTCGTCATCAAGAAAAAGTTCAAGAATTTCTGTGGGAGTTTTCATTTGGGTGAAGAAATCGTTTGGTGGTTCTGTAACTCTATCTGCTACAGGCTGTGCAGTTAGGTCAGCTTTTTTCCATTTGCAAACAATGTCTGTCACTTTTAGGCATGTGCAAACTGAAAAAAATTAGCTTTTTTTCATAAATTAACTAATTATTTTTTCGTTAGATTTCTTAAATTCATTAAACTTGTTTTCAAAATTCGTTTTGTTTTGTTTACTTGTATTCAATTTGAATTTCTGAAAAATAAAGAATAAATGGATAGAATTTTTAGAGATTGATTTAACTACAAAATTAAGGATTTTGCCATTTCTTGGAAGTTTCTCTAAAGCAATAAATCTAAATTTTGCCTCTCAATCCTCTTTGGATAAATGACAAAAAGAAAATCAACTAAAAAAAGTGTTTTTTTTATGGGGGTAGGGTAGTTTGTTTTATTTTTTAAATGTGTGTGTATTTGATCAGTATTTATGTACTCTTGATTTAAATGTTTTATTTTACCTTACCTTTTTCCTGTTTTTTTTTTTCTTTTATGTGAAAAAGAAACATAAAGCAATGTGACTTATAAGAGGTTGCTTTGTTTCATGAATTAACTAATTATGTTTCGTTAGATTTCTTAAATTAGTTAAACTTGTTTTCGAAATTAGTTTTGTTTCGTTTACTTGTATTCAATTTGAATTTTCTGAATTCGACCGAATTCGAAAATTTGAATGGATCTGAAAAATTGGGCCAAATTCTAAAATTTCAAACAAATTCTAATTCATTCTATTCAAAATTCGAATTTCGAAAGACAGTTATATTATTTCTATTGTTTTTTTTTCCTTTCTATTCTTTTATTTTCTATTCTATTCTAATTTAATAAGAGGTTTTTTTTGCACAAGGTCCAAGATATTTGAAAAGAGTCTTCATGACCCGCATTAGCCATTTAAAGCCTATTTACCCTTTAATACCACAAAAAAGCTTGATTTTGCCTTTGACTCCAATATACAGGTGAAACTCAAAAAATTTAGAATATCGTGCAAAAGTTCATTTATTTCAGTAATGCAATTTAAAAGGTGAAACTAATATATGAGAGAGACTCATTACGCAAGATAGTTCAATCGATTTGTCATAATTGTGATGATTATGGCTTACAGCTCATGAAAATCCACAATCTCAGAAAATTAGAATATTGTGAAAAGGTGCACAAGCAGCAGGGATGACCGTAGCCTGGAGAGGATTGTCAGGAAAAGGCCATTCAAAAGTGTTGGGGACTTTCACAAGGAGTGGACTGAGGCTGAAGTCAGTGCATCAAGAGCCACCACACACAGACGGATCCTGGATATGGGCTTCAAATGTCGTATTCCTCTTTTCAAGCCACTCCTGAACAAACAACGTCAGAAGCGTCTTACCTGGGCTAAAGAAAAACAGACCTGGTCTGTTGCTCAGTGGTCCAAAGTCCTCTTTTCTGATGAGAGCAACGTTTGCATCTCATTTGGAAACCAAGGACCCCGAGTATGGAGGAACAATGGAGAGGCCCAAGGACCCCGAGTATGGAGGAAGAATGGAGAGGCACACACTGCAAGATGCTTGAAGTCCAGTGTGAAGTCTCCACAGTCTGTGTTGATTTAGGGAGCCATGTCATATGCTGGTGTTGGTCCACTGTGCTTCATTAAGTCCAGGGTCAATGCAGCCGTCTACCAGGAGATTTTGGAGCACTTCATGCTTCCTTCCGCAGACGAGCTTTACGGGATGCTGACTTCATTTTCCAGCAGGACTTGGCACCTGCCCACACTGCCAAAAGCACCAAAACCTGGTTCAATGACCGTCGGTTTACTGTGCTTGATTGGCCAGCAAACTCGTCTGACCCGAACCCCATAGAGAATCTATGGGGCATTGCCAAGAGAAAGATGAGAGACAAGAGACCGAACAATGCAGAAGAGCTGAAGGCCGCTATTGAAGCATCCTGGTCTTCCATAACACCTCAGCAGTGCCAAAGGCTGATAGCTTCCATGCCACGCCGCATTGAGGCAGTAATTGCTGCAAAAGGGGCCCAAACCAAGTACTGAGTACATATGCATGCTTATACATTTCAGAGGTCCAATATTGTTCTATGTACAATCCTTGTTTTATTGATTGCATGTAATATTCTAATTTTCTGAGATTGTGGATTTGGGGTTTTTTCACGAGCTGTAAACCATAATCATCACAATGATGACAAATCACAGCTTGAACTATGCTTTGTATGTAATGAGTCTATCTCATATATTAGTTTCACCTTTTAAGTTGCATTACTGAAATAAATGAACTTTTGCATCATATTCGAATTTTTTGAGTTTCACCTGTATATAGGCAAAATTTCAGAGAAATGAAAGTTCTCGAGTTTGCTAATCCCTATTCATAAAATTCACTCAGTTTATTTTAATCTGAATGATGAAAAGTCCCCTGCAACCACAAGCATGCACATCTTTGTAGAAAGACAGTGTAAAGATTCTCTATGAATCCCGTGCTGTGCAACCTGCTCTCTCTACTTCCTACTTTACCAATCACATTCAAGGCAGGTTGGTTCTGATCAATGTCTATGAGAAAACTCATTTCTTAAGGGGCTGTCTGTATGGTCCACTTTATAATCCAAAACTATGTAGAAGAATTTTCTAAAAAATAATGTGTCATTTTGTCCATTTAAGAAAAAAAAAAAACAACAGGTTCTCTTGATAGGCCATCCCCCACCCTACTCATACTTGCCTTCACCACTGCCAGAGCCCATGTTCCTTTTAATACATTTGAGCACCATTTGAGCACAATCTGTGTTTTCCTTTTTTATTTTTTGGTTTGATCCAATAACATTTCTGCATTTTACTTTTTGACTTTAGCAATGGAGATGGCCAGTGCAAATTTCTCTGCTCTTCAGTTTGTCCTATTGGGATTCTCAGATTTCCCTCAAATAAGGATATACCTGTTTTTCATGTTCTTCATCATGTACCTCATAACCATCTTAGGAAATTTGATTATCCTTACCTGCATCGTGTATGACCAGGCCCTCCACTCCCCTATGTACTTTTTCTTGAGCAACCTTTCTTTGGTCGATATCTGTTTCACATCCAGCACAATCCCCACCCTTCTCTCAACCCTGATCTCTGACAATAGGTCCCTCAGCTTCCCTTCTTGTCTCAGCCAGATGTTTTCCTTCATCTCTTTCGGAAACTTGGAGAACAACATCTTGGCCATCATGGCGTACGATCGTTACGTGGCCATCTGCAGCCCGCTGAGATATACTTTGAAGATGAAGAACAGTTTATGCATTTTGTTGGTAGCCATTTCCTGGATAGCTGCCTGCTCTCATTCTCTTCTTCACACCCTAATGTTGACTACTCTTCGATACGTTGGGCTGAAGAAGGTATACCACTTCTTCTGTGAAATCTCCCAAGTCTTGTCTGTTGCGGATTCTGATGCGTCTTTAAATTTCTCCCTCATCATCACAGAGGGGGCAGTGTCTGTTGGCATCCCCTTTTTGTGTATCATAACATCCTATGGTTATATCTTGATGGCCCTCTTCCAGATTCACTCCACTAATGGGAGTCAGAAAGCATTCTCCACCTGCTCTTCTCATTTGACGACTGTTTGTCTGTTCTACGGGACAATTATTTCGGTTTATTTTCGACCTTCAGTTGGAGGCTCAGGTGGCTCAGTTGGAGTAGGAGAAAGAGCGGCCACTATAGGGTACACTTTATTGACACCAATGCTGAATCCAATTATTTACGGCTTGAGAAATGAAGCAATGAAGAAAGCTATGGGTAAAGTCTTTCAATAGGCTATAACCCATATCATAAATGGGGAATTTATACGATGATACAATAATATAAATCCTCATTACCAACGGTCTAGAACAAATAATAGGAGGAGAGATGGATTCTGGATAAAAGCAAACCATGAAGGATTTCACCATATTGGTTTTTATGCCACTTGGGGTAGCTATGTTTACTTTAATAGCCTTACGGTGATGCAAAACAGAGACGTGTTAAAGTGTTACTAAACCCACAACAGTACAATCAGTCTTTATGTGCAGTAAAGCATGCTTGTTATACTCACTGTGAAACCTAAGGGGTTAATCCTCTGCATTGTGTAAAAAGGCTGTTTGATCCTGTCTTCTCTGATCCTCCCCTCCTTCTACTGTCCCCAGTCCATCATCTGATAGAACAGAGCTTTGGGGGCAAGCTGCACATGCTCAGTTTGGTGGGAATTGCTACAGAGGTTTTTTTTTTCTTGGGACAGTGCATGTGATCAGCACAGGGCCAATCAGCACTGTCAAGACAGAGGGTCAGGGGTCATGCAGCCTCATTGGACAATCAGGGGAGAATGAAAATTCCTCCTACAAGCTTTACCAGTGCTCTGCTGGACACTGATAGAAGTCACAAGACTGCTATATACTGCTGATGAGAAAAGGTATTTAACAGTTTATATTTACCAAAATAATTGCATTTCCATGTTCTGTGTACTGTATATACCAGATATAGTGAATGCAGGGTCTGGGGAGAGTGGATATAGTGAATGCAGGGTTCAGGGAGACTGGATATTGTGAATGCAGGGTCCTGGGAGACCGAATATAGTGGATGCAGGATCCAGGGAGACCGGATATTGTGAGTGCAGGGTCTGGGAGATCAGATATAGTGAATGCAGGGTCCGGGGAGACCGGATATAGTGAATGCAGAGCCTGGGGAGACCGGATATAGTGAATGCAGAGCCTGGGGAGACCGGATATAGTGAATGCAGGGCCTGGGGAGACCGGATATAGTGAATGCAGGGTCCGGGGAGACCGGATATAGTGAATGCAGGGCCTGGGGAGACCGGATATAGTGAATGCAGGGTCCGGGGAGACCGGATATAGTGAATGCAGGGCCTGGGGAGACCGGATATAATGAATGCAGGGTCCTGGGTTTAGTAATACTTTAATTGATATAATTCATACACATAAATCATATATATCACAGCACTGTATTTGTGGTTTTTTTTAATCCTTTAAGTGCCTTATTCCTGCAGCGCTGTTGTGTGGTCACATGATCTTTCCCTGTTCTTTGGCATCTACAGGGAAAGATCCTTGGAATTGGCTTCTATTACTTTGCTGATGTATGCTCCCCACAGTGTGACTCTCTTGTCTGACCAGCACTGATTGGTGCTGTGCCAAAAACACTTTCAGAAGAGTAATTCAAATTAAATTATAAATATAAATATAACTGTTTTACAGCTCCTTATAAATCTTTATTGACCATCAGATGTGTATAGTTCATGTATTAACCTCCCTAGCGGTCTGATTATGTCAGTATTTCTGTGCTCAAAGCGGTACATAGTTTTTAATGGAAATATGTATTTTTTTTATTGTAGGCCTGTAATTTTTAGGAATAACTCACTGAAATCTGTCCGAACAAGAGTCTAGTAAACATCCCGGGTATGATAAAATTTGAAACACAAAATCATAATTTATAATATAATAAATAATCATAAAAAATAATAATTAATTCAATAATATAATCAAACCAAAAACACTGAAATTTGAAATATAGCACATCACTGAGCAAAGTCGCAGAATCGTTTTCAGTGTCTGATGACGAATTTCCCCCACGAATCATTATCACTCAATTCTGCAAGTGGTTCTGATTTACTATCGCTGTTCTCTAGCCGGTCTAAAACCGATTTTGACGTAAAGGGACGCTTTTTGGACGCCATGGACGTTCTCAAGTTTCCAGGCAGAAAGAACAGTAAAAATGCAGGCAGGGCGCAGGACAAAGCACTCGGGACAAAATGTATGTGAAATGGTTTGATACAGTAATGGAATACTATCAGATTTTAGTGTATTGAGTAAATGTCAAATTTTTTAATTATTTAAATTCCTGCTGGTTCCGTCCTCCGTACGTTCCGACGCTCGCAGGGAATGGAACCCGGAAGATGGATGCCGGCATCGGCCGGAGAACATGGCCAGGGATGCAGCAGGAGGACAGTGTGGGAGCGCAGGACAAGGTAAGTGATACAGGGATCCCAGAGCAACACTGCAGTGTAATCCCGAGTGTAGCTCGGGGTTAACGTTTCTGGTACTGAAAATTAACCCCGAGCTACACTCGGGAATACCGCCAGGGAGGGTTATATTGTGTAGGTGAAGTGAAAGATAATTGACACTAGGTTTCATTTTGTTCAGACTGCACCTTTACAGGTATTAGCAATTACATCTGAGATATTGAATACTGATTCATATTAAAACTAAGCTTTTTGTGAATTTCTTAGTGAATGTAATCAATCAGCATATCATATCCAACCCCCATAGTGTTTAGCAATAAGAAGACATGGAGGGGGAGGGAGGAAAGGGAGTGCCGTTTACCACTGTGTATACACCCACATGTGTGACTCTATAGTCATGTGGGCTACACAATTAAGAAAAAGGAGGAAATGAAAAGCTTAGAAGGGAACTGAAACTGGAGCATGCTCAGTAGATGACAACAGCTGGTCTACCCAATCTCAGGATGCAATGGGGACACAGAGAAGATGGGAGAGACAGCTGAAGGCAGGATCAACCAGGTATATTTCACTCTTTGGCTTTGTGAGTATGCATACTCTGTAGCATGTACTAAGAGTTTTTCATAGTGTGGGTTTAATGACACTTTAAATGTTTAAATTTAAAAAAAGTAAAATCCCAGTAGGCCTGGGTTACAGTTGCTGTTGTAAATAAGAAAAAAGATCTGAACAGATGAGAGATCAGATTATACACACTGGGAATAATTCCCGGTGGGTGTAAACACCCCTTCTCTTTCATCAAAGCAGAGTAAAATAAAAGGTGTAATTTTACAAACAAGAAAGCCAAACAAAACATTGTATTGCAGAAAAATGAAGGTGCTAGACCAGGGTTTCTCAACCAGGGTTCCACGGAACTCTAGGGTTCCTCCAGAGGTTGCTAGGGGATCCTTGAGCACTAAGCAAATTCTGCCTCTCAGATATGTTCCCACTGACACCACTGATCTTTCTAGGTATCTATAAAGGGGTAATAATTCCCAATGACCACAAATGTAAAGAGCATTCTTCCCGCAGACTATCACACTAATGTATCATGAGCTGTAGATATAGTCGGGGTTCCCTGACACTCTAAGCAAGTTATTTCAAGGGTTCCTCTTTACTGAGAAGGTTGAGAGAGGCTGTGCTAGACCCTTAACAGTGCTCCCCAACCCCATGATTTGGACATTCCTGCACTCTAAATTGCCTGCTATATCTAGAGTAAATATGGGGCACACATGCACATACCCAACAGCAAACAACTGCTTGGTGCCTGAGATATCTATCACCAGACCTCAGCCCTGCTACATTAGGGGATGCCAACTTTTAGCAAGTTTGTATTTTCATAGGAATTTCAAAGAGACTTTAGTGGCAGACCACAGGACTAGAAGGAGATAATAAAATAGAAAGATGCATCTTAGTGTACCCACAATGCATAAATCTGCAGTTTCCTTTTATCTCATCTCTTGTTAAGGGTTATGTCCTTCGTTTCTGGTTGAAGGAGATATTTGGATGGTTTACTGGTGTCATGTTATACAGAGTAGCTTGGTGGCTAAATCATTAGCACTCTTACCTCTGGACTTCAGCTTCCATTCCATTGTCTGGATTTCGAAATGTCCTTTGCTGCTTCATTGTCTCAGCTAGCAGAACTGTGTGCAAAGAGGAAATTCCTTTTATGGACTTATGGAGGATACATAGTTACATAGCCTGGCTGAAAAAATAAAAATGTCCATCCAGTTCAACCATAAAAAAAAAAAAGTTATAATCCTATACCCACAGTTGATCCAGAGGAAGGCAAAAAATCCCCAGCAAAGCATGAACCAATATGCTCATGCAGAGGAAAAAACTCCTTCCTGATCCCCTAAGAGGCAATCAGATATTCCCTGGATCAACTTTACCTATAAATGTTATATCCAGTTATATTCTGTGTATCCAAGAAAGAATCCAGGACTTTCCTACAGCAATCCACTGAGCTGGCCAGAACCAGCTCTTGAGGGAGTCTATTCCACATTCTCACAGATCTCACTGTGAAGAAACCTTTCCGTGTTTTGGAGATTAAAATTTATTTTCCTCCAAATGTAGTAGAGCGCCCCCTTGTCCTCTGTGATGACCTCAGGGTGAATAACTCTACACTGAGTTCACTATATGAACCACTAATGTATTTATACATGGAGATCATATCCCCCCTTATGTATTATACATGGAGATCATATCCCCCCCCCTTATGTATTATACATGGAGATCATATCCCCCCTTATGTATTATACATGGAGATCATATCCCCCCTTATGTATTATACATGGTGATCATATCCCCCCCCTTATGTATTATACATGGAGATCATATCCCCCCCCCTTATGTATTATACATGGAGATCATATCCCCCTTATGTATTATACATGGAGATCATATCCCCCCCTTATGTATTATACATGGAGATCATATCCACCCTTATGTATTATACATGGAGATCATATCCCCCTTATGTATTATACATGGAGATCATATCCCCCCTTATGTATTATACATGGTGATCATATCCCCCCTTATGTATTATACATGGAGATCATATCCCTCCTTATGTATTATACATGGAGATCATATCCCCCCTTATGTATTATACATGGAGATCATATCCCCCCTATGTATTATACATGGAGATCATATCCCCCCTTATGTATTATAAATGGAGATAATATCCCCCCTTATGTATTATACATGGTGATCATATCCCCCCTTATGTATTATACAGTTGCAAGAAAAAGTATGTGAACCCCT